CTACAAATATGAGACATTCAGTGCCACACAGCATCGTTGCCACACTCTACATGTTTAAGAAGTTTAAGGGAGTTATTTTTAGAGGGATTATCCAAATATATATATGTATATATATATATACACACACACACACATTTGTAAAGGAAACCATCGTTAATTGGTTTTTTATTGTGACGATGACATGTGACTACGTGATACACTCTCATTATTTTTTAGTATTAGTATTACTACCTTAGTCCTAATTATATCAACCAAGGGCGGAGCCAAGTACAAGGCTCCCTTAGGCTACAACATAGGGAGAGTTTGGTTCTTCAAGCTTAAAAATATTAATTTTTAGGTTAGTTTATGATTTTTAATTGCCATATTTCACTTAAGAAATGAAATTTTTTAGTAGTAAGGATGTTTTTAAGAATAATACGAGCTAATAGATGTTAAATAAACTCATCACTTTAACCAATCTTATATTTAATAGTAATAAATTAAAACTTTCACACCACAAATGGTTCCTTATTTTATTCACTTGAAAGCTTTGAAGACTAGAAACCTAGAAAACATAGCATAAAATTCTTGCTTCAAATTACTACATTCAATTTTTACTATTATATAACTTTATGTGGGCAACATAGGATTAAAAATTTGATTTCGTAGTAATAATTTTAGCTTAGCTCATCCACCGAATAATTTTTGGCTACGCCATTGATATCAACGTCGGCATTTTCACATATGGTACAACCTAAGTAAACTAATATTAATACAAAATGATGAAGTACCAACCATAGCTATTTTTGATACAAACAGATAAGCAAGCAGTCACACCAAAGAATTTCAATGCACTTATAAAATTAAGACTCATTAGTTATTTGTTTATATTTCCAAATTGGCTCTTTATTAAAATGGAAAACGTATACCCCATACATAATAATATACAATAAGGTGCTAGCAATATTGTTCAATAATAACAAGAGTATACATCACATTCTTCTCAGCAAACAAACAAGAATGTACTATTTTGGGGAAGTTGATATTCTCTTCGGATCTCATTGTTCGGAGTCTAAGGATCAAGAAATATGGATCACTCAAATTGAATTATGCGATCCTTATAAACACATTCCACTGGCCTACCTTACACAAAACAAGGGCCTAGATCTCTTTTTCTTTCTCTTATCATGACTTCTTAATCTTTGAATTTTAGACAGTGAGATCCGAAGAGTATCTTAACACTATTTTGGGAGAGTGCTTAATACTTTAGTAATAATTAAAGCATATAATAGAACAAAAAATGGAGGAAAATACTCGAGGAATGATTGAAATAATAGTCAAAGAACGGATAAGGTTGGTGCCCAAATTAAGGATATGGGGCCAAACACTGTTGAGCGAGCTGTGACTGAAATTGAAAGATTGAAACCATCCCCTTGCTTCCGGGGATGATGAGCATAACAACAAAAAGTTCGCATCTCCAAGTCAAATTTCAGAATTTGTTAGAACTTTGCATCTAAAACAAATCGCAGCTCCTTCCATGATGGCGAGTGATTAGCTTTCCTCACTCACTAGTTCGTCTTTCAATCATTAACTAATAAAAACGTTAGGTAGACAATATTTTTAAATCGTTTCAGTGTACCTCTAGCAACTACTAACGGTAACAAAGAATACTTGAGAAAGGGAAAAAATATATGAACGTCATTTTCCCTTACACAAGTTTTTTATGCTGATGTTTGTATTGAATAAATTAAAGAAAAATCAATGAACATAAACAAAAGTGTGGACAACGAGAGAAAAAAAAAACAGGCGTAAATCATTTGCTTTAAATCGAACTAGAGAACTCCTCACCTATTTTGCAATAATGAGGGTCTATAGTTTTTTTTTTTCTCTTGAAATTAAGCGATTAAAATTTCATAATAATGTTTAAGTTTGCCAGCCATCTACTGTTGTATTTGCTTATGTGTATGGACTTGTGTGAAAGTGCTTTTCAAATCATTGAAACCGCTTTTAGAAAAAAAAATGTTTATGAGTTCAAAAGTACTTAAGTGTTTATTGTAAAAAAAAATATCAATTATGTACTTCATATGTTTTTTCAGAATTAACTTACATTTTATTAAAAATTGATTTTATTTAAAAAATATTTTTAATTATTTTAAAAATAATTTCAAACCAGCCCTATGTTAAAAAAAAATCCAAAACTTGTCTTCATATAATTGAGTCGCCACGAGTGGTTGACTTGTTGGTAATGAATCATGATTCATGATATTAGTTTGTTTAACTTTTACCTAAGAGGTAAAATGAAAAGTGAAAAAATGCATGTCGGCAAATGCCACTTGAAAAGCATGATACATATGGCATTCTTTTTTCATTCACTTTCCTTCCCTTCTTTCACATTCTTTATTTTGTCATTCTTTTTTTATATAAAATTAATATAAGATGCTGATGTGGTTTAACCATAACCGTTCAAATATGAGAGGAATGAAGGAGAACAAAGAAAAGAAAGAAGAGAATCATACTCCAATATATATATATATATATATATATATACAAGTAATTAGAGATAAAAATCTAAAAATTTAAACTCATCAAACATTAATAAATAAAGTAACAAGTAAAAATCCAACCAACGGTCCACTAGGGTGAGACACGTGCCATGTAGACTAGCAATGGGGTTTGAGGTTTGACCATTTTTACATCATTTGCCATCATTTCATATGAGCAGCCCCACTTTTGAATGACTACACAAGTCATGCAGACATTTTTACTATCTTAATTTCATAAATCGGTTGGACTTTATTGCTATTTGGAGAGATGATCTTGTGACTAATATACCCTTGATCTTCACAAGTATTCAAAATGAGGACTTTAGAAGAGCAGGACTGGTGGTTTATAATACTAGTAAACCTCTTATGCAGGTTAAATTAGATGATTTATCGAACCTATCCATGTGGTTTGTAATGTTAATGAACCTACGTTAAAGACCTTTCTATAAGTTTGTGAAATCACACCCTTAAAATATGTTGACTCATCATTAAAATTTAAAAAGTTACTTAGTTGGGTCAAAAGTCAACGACCTAAACTGAAACAAAATTTCAAGAATTAAAGCTAATAATTGTCTACACAATTGCTCTTACATCTAACTCTCTCAAAGAAAAAATATATATACTTTCTAGGAGAATATATTTACTTGGTTTTGACCATCTAAGATTTTCTATTATGATTCAATGACATGAAGCAACAATAATATAACAAATATTGTTGCGTTTTTAAAACTCGAGTATTCATCTACTAAAGACGTAAAAAGGCTCTTCTTAAGGCATTACAAACAAGAAAATATATGTTGCACTGTTACTTAGTATGTCATCTATGTCACTGAGAATACATAAGTATTGCTCATTTTTCTTTTAATCATTTGGTTGCACAAATTTGATTAGATACGGAACCACCTTCTATTTATGGGGTTGTAGGTTACACATGTGATCTGCAAAGTGTTGTTACTGTCCACTTTCAATGCATGAAAACTACTTCAACAAACGACTGAAAAAAATCATAAAAATATTAATTATATATATATACAAGTTAAACAGTATGTCTTCATCATCAGCTGGTTTGCCCGAGAGGTTAAGGGGGAAGACTTAAGATCTTCTGCACATAAGTGCGCATGGGTTCGAACCCCATAGCCAGCAAAAATTGAACAAAAAAAATATTATTATTTTTCTTGATGTATCCTATTTTAAGTCCTTTTTTATTTATTTGACCAAAACAAATAGCCCATATGTTTATTTTTATTCACAAAATTATAAGGCCAATTTAATTATATAAATATGAATTGGGTCTACCGTGTTTCGAGTCGACCCCAGCTTAAGCCCATCACCTGGTCCACTTTCTTTTCCTAAATCACAAGAAAGCCCATCGCATTAAGCATTCTGTCCAGTAAACCCCTCATCGATCTTTGTCTCCCATTCACATCTCCGTTTTGGTTTGCATACTTATCAACTTCGTGCATGTTCGATGTATATATACTATATAAGGTCTTGTAACAGATGGAAGGGTTTTCGTGAATGTTGATTGCTATGAAAATGAATGTGTATATATTATATTATGTTTGGTCTGACATCAGAAAGTTGAGAGATCATGTTTGTGAACTTCGTTCATCCTTCAACAAGGTCACAACATGAAGGACGGAAAGGTTGGCTAGAATGCTCCAAATTATTTAATACAAGCAGATGATCCAGATTTTTTTTCGATTAGCGCATGATCTAAAATACTTGTCATATAATGAAAAAAAAACGCTGAATTTATCATTTATTTTGAAAGAAAGTGCAAAATTTAATATTTATTCTGAAAATTTCGAATTTTTATTTGCTTATAGTATTGGAGGCAAACATTCCAAATTACATTATTATACCACTTTAGGTTTATTATATGAGTTGCATGAATACGGAGTTGCAACGGCTTCACGCACATATTTTTGGGACATGGACTCACCAGTAGATTCAGTCATGTCCAAGTCATCCCCACTTGCACCACCAGGCATTGTCCAATCAAACTTGTGCACCAAATTTGCCAAAGCAACCTCTTTAAGCATCATGGAGAACTGAATTTCCAGGCAAACCCATTAAGACCCGTTTAATTTGATATCGCCATAATATAGGTATTTTCTTGCAACTGATGAAGTTGCGATTATTCCATTCTCACAATATGCATTATAAACAGTGACTGCGAGAGAGAGTTTTCTAACCACCATGGGATTCTCTCTACAAAAGAAGGCCACTGAGGATGAAGTGAAGGAACCCCACACCTCATCGACATATGCCGCCAAAGACCTTCATAAAAGGGGGCCATTTTTTTCTCTTACCAAAACAAAGAGCCCATTTCCCTTTTAAGGACCTAATCATATAAACTAGATGTGGGCTTACCGTCTTGGCCCAAATTAAAGCCCATTATCAATTCCAACTGGTCACTTCTAATTTTCCCCCCGCACAAGAAAACCAAAACGCAGTGTAAATAAGCAAGCATTCCTTCCACCATTTCATTAGCTCCATCTCACTCTCCGTTCTCCCTCCTTCCCTTCCTCTTCCTCTTCGTCTGCGAAATCATCAATTCTCCAAGGTATTTTCACAGCCCCTAATTTATCTTAAATCTTTCGATTTTATTTACCGAATCTGTGAAATTTGACATAGATTGCACTAGTTTTCGATCTCTAATGTTGTGTTTCTCAGAGGATTTTAAGAGCCATGAAGCTTGACACTACCGGTCTCGAAACACACGCGCCGCTGTGCGGCGAGAGCAGTGGGTTTCTCGACGGCGTTTCGGCTCCTCCGTCGTTCGAGGTACCTACTACCAATGATGTGAGTTTCCATGTGCTTTTTGTGCTCTCTTTCCGTGGTTCTTAGTCTCTGCGTGGTAGAATTTGGCTGACTATGTGGATTTGATTATACGGTTTCCTCTGCTATTTCAGTTTGATGGATTTCAGAAGGAAGCTATCCAGATGGTGAAGCCGGCCAAAGGGACAACCACGCTTGCGTTCATCTTCAAGGATGGCGTCATGGTGGCGGCCGATTCTCGGGCCAGCATGGGCGGCTATATCTGTAAGTTGCTTTATAATGTATTTCATATTGCTTGCATATATGAAGTAGTTGTATGCTTTGTGCCATGAAGTTTTTGTTGGGGTAATTTGGAATGATGCTTAAACTGTTTAGTGCCTGTGAAGATGTTGCTATTTCACGTTTCCGAATGGTTTTGATTAATTGCTTTATGCCTCAGATTGGTATATTCTGTTAGTTTAGGTGTACTAGAGACTCCGGGCCAGCCCAAATTTTTTTTCTAGCTCCTGTAATTATTACAGTGTATGTATGTTAGTGTGATCCAAATCACCGAAGTTCAGTGTTTGCACAACTGAAAATCTAGTTCTCTTCTGCACATGAGGCCCGCATTTGACTCTTGCTGTGGTTTGGACGTCGGAGCTAGTGGTTTTATTTTTATTTTTTGCATTTTATAGGGCTAAAACAAATCAAACTTTAAAAGAATAGGTCCAAACAAAAAGCGAACCGAGGAGCATACAAGTAGGCAAAACTCAACCGTACAACTCTACTACTATCAAATTCATGATTCCAACTCGTAGGTATTGCATTTATAATGATTGAATTTGGTTGTTCACCGTTTAGCTTGTTATTATCATGTTAGTAGGTGTCCTAGAGTGTATCTGTTATGTCTGCATACCCGTGTGCATTTTTCACATTTTAGAGTGATTTGGATTTATTTTGCTATTCATCGGATTGGCTTATTCTTAATCATGTTAGTTTAGGTGTCCTAGAGATTATCTGTTATGTGCATACTGATATAACTTTCTTTTGATACAGAACATGGGTTTACATTTACAATTTTGTTCCTTATCTTTTCAGCATCGCAATCTGTGAAGAAGATTATTGAAATCAATCCTTACATGCTTGGTACAATGGCTGGAGGAGCTGCTGACTGCCAGTTTTGGCACAGAAATCTGGGGATCAAGGTAGTGCATCTATTCTGTTTTATTAATTTGCAACTTAAAAAACTTTAGACTTGTCGGCTACAATTCATTTTGAAGGGCTGGATATATAGTTTTTCAGTGCTCTATACTGTCATGATGTTTTTACGAGTACTTGGATGATCAATATGCTCAAGAAATTTTATCTCGATCAAATTTTATAGTAGTGGTGCCATATCGATGTTCACCTATTAAGGGGATCAGTCGGATGACAATTGTGCTGTTCATTTTGACTTACTATAGGGTTATTGGTTACTAACAACCAATTGTTTGTTATATCTCAGTGTCGGCTGCATGAATTGGCAAATAAGCGGAGGATTTCAGTTACTGGAGCATCAAAGCTGCTGGCAAACATTCTTTACTCTTATCGTGGTATGGGTCTCTCAGTTGGGACCATGATTGCAGGCTGGGACGAAACGGTAAATGAGATACAAATCTTGTCACGTTACATTTTGCTGCCATTTATACTCATGTAATGTGTATCCTTGTTTGAATGCAGGGTCCTGGACTTTACTATGTCGACAGTGAAGGGGGAAGATTGAAGGGGATGCGGTTTTCTGTTGGGTCTGGCTCTCCATACGCTTATGGTGTTCTGGATAATGGGTGTGTACTTTCCTTCACTTTTGGTTGAGGTTCAATTGGTAATCCGGATAACTGGCATATGGGAATCATATAAGCCTTTGCCCTGATGTTGTGGTTGTAGCACAAGCACAGACATGCTTGCAGTTTTCCTTTATAACCATTTTTCTTTTCCGTCAACTGTTACTGTATTTCAATGCCATTGATTATGGCATTCTGCTTTGCCTTATCAGAAATTGTGTAGGCATTCCCTTCTTTCGCCCTCTATTTTATCTAATAGATCGAAGTTTTCTCTACATTCTGGCTACTTGCAATTTCCTTCATATGGTTGAGTTTTATTTATATGTAGGCATTATCTTATTTTCTGTAAACGTTTTACTGCACCCGTTATTCTTCTAACTCAGGTTGCCTATGTTAGGTACCGATATGATATGTCTGTAGAAGAAGCTGCCGAGTTGGCTAGAAGAGCAATATATCATGCAACATTCCGCGATGGAGCCAGCGGCGGTGTTGCTAGCGGTAAAATCTCTCTCTCTCTCTCTCTCTCTCTGCACATTCATGACTTCTATATGTTTTTAACTTGTGTGTTTGTTATTAGTCTACCACGTGGGACCAAACGGATGGAAGAAGTTATCCGGAGACGATGTCGGGGAGCTTCACTACAGCTACTACCCTGCAGCGGCAGTCTCTGTTGAACAAGAAATGGTTGACGTCTGATGGAAACTAAAAATACAAGCTGTAGGATTTCGTGACCGTTTCTAGGTTTATATGTAAAAGCCTGATTTGTTGTATTGGGATTTTTAAGTCGACCTTCTAGTCTTTGTTACCTTTTCCTTTAAATGATGAATTTGATCTGTTGTCGTTGATGTTCTTCCATTACAATTCCTCGTGACCGATAAGCCATAACTACAGTTTAGTTGTATTTTTTACTTGTAATGAGAGATCTTATATTAGAATTTTATGAATGATGAGTTCGTTGTTGATTTATTCTCTATTTTTTGGGAGAATAGAAGGGTTGGGTCTCCCGATCTTTGCGTTCTAAACACAAAGACTCGAAAAGGATCTCGATTATGAGAAATGTATCAACAAGAAGAACCAATTTTAGTTGGGGGAACTGGGTCCCACCATCATTATGAACACGTAGAACAACCAAACGGCGATTGATTAGGGTTGAGAAATTGATGAGACCCCCTTCAATCAATGAGATCCCTTGATGAGACCCCCTTCAATTTTAGTTGGTTCATGCCAAATTAATGAGACCCCCTTCAATCAATGAGATCCCTTGAGCACGAAGCATGTAAATATAATGATTATATACCTTTTTAGTTGCCTGTATGTGGATGTATTTTTTATTGCGCACGATGTCATCACTACTACTCGCTAGAATTTGATCCAAGTTATACATATACATACATACATATATATATATATATATTTTTTTTTTTCCATAAAAAAAAAAAAAAGCAAATAAAATAGGCATGCCTTTTTTATGTAAATTTAATTACTATATTGAGTTGAGGGCAGGTGCAAAAATCATATTTACTGATTTACATCTTATTTTAAATTTATGGGAGATGTATGAGTTGTACTCCGCCAAAAAAGATGTTAATTTATAAATTTCGTTTATTTTTCTCTCTTAAATTGGCAGGACACTTTCTAAAAAATGTGAGTATTTTGCATCCAATCTATTGAAAAGCTTTTTGGCCAACACAAAATATAAAAGATCCATTCAAAAGGCATTTGCATCTCCAGTTGGAGAAGCTTTGAGTCTTGCGAGATTTTTCATATGTTGAGAACATGATTTGATACATTATATGTTATAATACAAGTGCTTTGAGACTTGAAAAAAAAAATTTAGCTACTTATAGTATGACGCTCGATGACGATATATTGGATGACATTCCCAGCATACTAAAAAATTTCTTTTGAGTCATAATTTCACAGATCCTTCCATTTTAATTGCCAATAAATCAGTGAACAATAAAAAAAAAGGTACAATCATTCACATAAAAAATACATTATTATTCTCATAACAATAAATACATTATTATTTTAAATATCCACCGAAATAAATGATGTCTAGATCCCAAACAATACTCTCTCTCTCTCTATTTTGTTAGCTTCCAAGCATGTTTTCATGATTAACAATGAGATATAATCATTGTGCAAATCCCACTAAAGGATAATTAAATTTACATGACTAGTAAAAAAAAGTTGTTGGCTCCAATTTTTTTTTTCTTCGAACAAACGATATTATCTGTATCAACAGGAAGAGAAGTGAGTTTAGCCTCACAAGTCATAATGAGTTAGTATTAATGTGGTTCAAATTCACAATTGGCAAGAATCGAACCTAAAACATCTCACTTACAAGTAAAAAAAATATCACTACACCGTAGTATTAACTGCTCCAAAATTCTTATTTAACACTCTAAATTTTCTATATCTAAAGAAATTGCCTTCGTAGATTTGATTGATTCATTAGTAATCTTGTCGCGGAGTTATGCTGTACATTTTTTACATGATAGTACATTGCTTTAACCAATTCTCATACCACATATCCGCCACGTAGTTTGGTTATGGAATGACTCATCATTATACGTTGAACTGACAATTTAAGGGACTAAATGAATGCAGCTAAGTAAAGTTCCAGCAATATCCATACACAGTAATATAATCAAAACTAATTTGATTCCATTGTTCATAAAAAAAACAAATTGATCCGATTGTTTATAAACAAATGATTCTTTGCAGACATTCATCCCAAAAGCAAATGTGCTAATTAAGCATTATAATACCCCCACCCCCCCCCCCCAAAAAAAAACTACACTATTGCTTAACCATAATTAAAAAAAGAAAATAAATGAAAAGAACTTAACAACTTTGAGTTTTAATGATAAAGACAAAATAAAGGGTAAAGTGAATAGTATCACGATTGACTTTTTAGTGTAAAAATGTAGGTTTTCGTTAAAGTGAACAATATCCTTAAAGTAACCAATTAAAAAATGACACTTTGGATGCGATCCCTAACTACCAATGTTTTTTTATTGAAACCTTTGTAGTTTTTAGTTTTTGATCAAAGTTCTTGACATTAATGTAATAATGTATTTCTATTTAGGTTATTATATTTTTAATTTAAAAAAGAAAATTTGTAGTTATTTATATTAATGAGATTTAAAATAAAACCCATAATTTATGGGATAAAAAATATCAATGATAAATTATACTCTTCTGTGTGTATATATACATGGGTACGTTCATAAAAAACTAACCAAAAAATTATTGTACCAAAACATGGGTACATTTTTCAAAAACACAAAAAAAGAAAAAAAGATATTAGGCTTAGTAACATTATTAAATTTCTTCTATTAAACTTGACATAAATACATTTTCAAAATGCACCCATATAAGTTTAAAAATGGATTAGAGAAAAGATTGAATGAATTTTATATAAAAAAATGGGTACATTTTATATTAAAAAAAAAGGTACATTTTTCATATAACAAATTGGTATATTTATGTCACATCCCGGCCCGGGGCGGATCACTTCCCGGGCCCGTTCCACCACCGTAGCACGATATTGTCCGCTTTGGGCTTACCATTCCCTCACGGTTTTGTTTTTGGGAACTCACGAGCAACTTCCCAGTGGGTCACCCATCATGGGATTGCTCTAGCCCCTTCTCGCTTAACTTCGGAGTTCCTACGGAACCCGAAGCCAGTGAGCTCCCAAAAGGCCTCGTGCTAGGTAGGGATGAGAATATACATATATGGATCACTCCCCTGGGCGATGTGGGATGTCACAATTTAAGAATGGCTACATATCAAATTTTTATAAAAAATTAATGGATACAAACTTATTCTAATTTTATTTTTTATATTTTGGAATGTTTGAATTGAAAATTAATTAGGAGTTTAATAAGGGTGTGAGTATTAAAATTCTAAATCAATTACTAATTTTTATTGTAAAAATTATGTAACTTACATGTAATTCATTAATATATTAATGATAGGAACTTTCATCAAAATCTAAAAAACTAATAAAATCTTAATCAATAAACATTAAAGATTAAGAACCAGATACTAATTTTTTCTTAAAAAAATATGTTAAAAATTTAAAACTCAAATGATTAAAAATAAATAAGCTATAAAAAATCCTCGATGAAAAATGTGTGCTATTCATTAAAAAGAGACGCGAGTCAATATTGTATTAATAATATGGATGACATCTCGACAGCATAAGAAACAACGTCAATTTTCAAGAAAGAGTCCAGAAAGTGAGGGAATGTTAATTATAACGGAATAGACCTGACCTACCTACACTATGACATCACCATCATATGCCTTGAAGACAATAATAAAAATCTCTTGATGAGCAAAACTATATTAAAACAGCTGACGTGATAATTTGTCTACTTTGATTGTCTCATAAAAAAATGTTATTCCACATAGAACTAGGCAATGTTACCTACTTCGGAAAGTAGACACTGGAAAATTTGCCTAATCAATTGACTATTCACCTAGAGCTTAATTTTGCCTATACGGCTCGTTAAAAGAAAGGGAAATTGTATTTGAACTTATATAATTTCACTTTACACCTAACTTAAATTTAAAATGTGAATTGTTATTTTTATCCTATTATATAGTTACCATCAAATACATGATGAAATCAACTATAAAACTAAAATTTATTAATAAACCCACTACCGCTTCCAATGACAACTGTGGGACTGAGGCTCATTCGAATTGAGGAATACGAAATAAACAGACAAAATAATGCATTCTACATAATTCATGTATTTATATCATTATTATTGGGGTAAATGACAAAAAACTACCTCAACTATTGGTGTCACGATACTTTCATACTTTATCTTTTAACATTGACAATGTCATACCTCATCTTACAAATTTGTGACAATGTCAGACCTCCGTCAGTTTTTCTATTAATTTCTCTGTTAAATGCTGATGTGGCTAGAGACGGAGTCCACTCACTAATCCAACTGGATTAAAAAATAATTAAATTAAAAAAAAAAAGAATAAAAAAAAATTAAAATGGCCTAGGGGTGCGGGCCTCCCCTTTCCTCCACCCGCACCAACCTTCTTCTTCTCTTCGACAGCCACCAAACTTTTCCCCGTCCCCCAAACCTTCCTCAACCCATCCCCATCCCCCACCTCTTCCCTTCCCCTCCCTCTTCCTGTCCCTTTCAAACCCAAACCCTAACCCTAATTCCCCGTTTTCAAACAGAAAACCCCAACCTTCCTCACCCATCCCCCCAACCTTCCCCACCCGTCCACCCTTCCCCACCCAACGCGGGAAAAGAGCTGTCCCCAGCAAGAGGTGGCGGGGAGGTGCCACGGGAGCATTCATGCAACAAGCCCATAAAACAGGTTTGTAAGCACCAAAATATTTGCCATCAAAACCCGATCTCGGCATTTCCGGAGAGCTGTGTGGCGATGATTCTGGGGTATTTGGACCTAGCTGAAGATTTACAAATTGTCGAAGCTGAATCGGGCGTTTCATAGCGATGATTCTGGGTTTTGTTTCTTGTTTTCTGTTTGGGTGCCGAGAAAGTGTGGGAAAATTGGGAAAGTTAGATTCTTTGAATTGAATTGTATCATTGTGGTGTGGGTTTGATTGGTTTCTCTATTTTCTCATCTATCGAATTTCGTTTTCAATTTTTTTTAGCCGAACCTTGGGAAGGAGGTGGAGATGGAGGAGGAGAGGGCGGCGGTGGGGTGGTGAAGGAAGGTTGGGGGGGGGGACGGGTGGGAAGGGTTTATGGGTTTTGGGGATGTAGGTGGCCAGAGAGAGAGAGATGAGAGAGAGGGTGGTGGAGGAAAGTTGGGGGGGACGGGTGGGAAGGGTGGGAAGGGTTTTTGGATTTTGGGGATGCAGGTGTCTAGAGAGAGAAGAAAGAAAGGCGAGAGAGTGGATCCCACAATTTTATATAAAAAATAATTTTATTTTTAATTTTATAATATTTAATTATTTTTTAATCCAGTTGGATTAGTGAGTGGGCCCCATCTCTAGCCACATTAGCATTTAACAGAGAAATTAACAGAAAAACTGACGGAGGTCTCACATTGTCACAAATTCTTAAGTTAAGGTATGACATTGTCATTTTTAAAAGATGAGGTATGAAAGTGTCGTTCGATCCATAGTTGAGGTAGTTTTGTGTAATTTACCCTTATTATTACTATTGTGTGTACATGTATAAGATGATTTTGAGTTCTGTAATTCATGTAGATTGGAATATGGATTTGCAGATTACAATTCCACCCCCCAAATACACATAATCCTAAAACCGAGGTTAAAATTTGAGATTAAAGCAATTGAAAAACGCTACTACATTCTCCAGTTCCAGAGAGATATCCAGAAAGAAAATGTTTGAATACATTTGTTTATCAAAGGATAAAAACGATGAGAATCCAATTCAGACAAAGCACACAAGGATTAAAACCCAACTCGATTTCCATTGTAAGAGAAATCTTGTCAGCACAAAAGACGGTAACATATGATTTAATTACTTCATCTAATCTTGTCTGCTCACATAATTTTCCGACTTCAGATTGCTTGTTTGATCAATTCAGCAAACACAACTCCAGACATGTATCGACGTGACACTCAAAGTAAAGTTTTTAAACATCGTTCATTTGACTGCTCTCTTTACGCCTTGAACGAGTTATGGAACATTGATTTTGGATTTTTATTTTCTAAATAGGTGTAAAGATAAATTCACATATTGAATTGAGTTTGTGAGGGTAATTGAGGTAGTAAATTTAAGTTTAAAGAGACATTGATAGTTTATCTAAAAATTATATGGATGTTAAAAATAAATTAAGTGCAAAAAGAAATTACATGAGTTCAAATAAAATTTATCTCGAACAAATTTAGCACTCATTTACCTACTCCAGTGGATATCCTCTTAAGTCTTAAGTCAAACATACCGTTAAAAGGCCACCACTCCCTTCTCCTTCCTTTGCTTCTCTTCTACTCCCCTCGTTCTTCCTCTCTCTTTTTGGCGGGAAGTGGACCCCGCCAATCAAATTTCCTCCTTCCGCCGGTCTCTTTCTCATAAATACCCGCAGCACCACCCCACCCACACCTCCAACCACCCTCTCTCTCTCTCTCTCTCTCTAAACATGTACTTCAATTAAAACCCGCAATCTCCATCTCCTCCCATTTCTCCGGCCAAATTATGGAACCTTCCAGTTTCTCCGCCCTCCTCATACTCCTCCTCCTCGTCGACACCACACTCTCACTCAACTCCGACGGCCTCTCCCTCCTCTCTCTAAAATCCGCCGTTGACCAGCCCGCCGACGGCTCCGCCTTCTCCGACTGGCTCGACACCGACCCCACCCCATGCCGCTGGACCGGCATTTCCTGCATGAACATCTCCGGCTTCCCTGACCCCTGCGTCGTCGGAATCGCCATATCCGGGAAGAATCTCCGGGGCTACATTCCCTCCGAGCTCGGCAACCTAGTAAACCTCCGCCGCCTCAACCTCCACGACAACAACTTCCACGGCTCAATCCCATCCCAACTCTTCAACGCTACCTCACTCCACAGCATCTTCCTCTACGGCAATAACCTCTCCGGCCCGCTTCCACCGTCGATCTGCAACCCCCCGCGTCTCCAGAACCTCGACCTGTCCAACAACTCCCTCTCCGGTCCGCTCCAGAAAGACTACTTGAAGAACTGCAAGCAATTGCAGCGGCTGATCCTCGCGAGAAACAGATTCGACGGAGAAATTCAGGCGGGAATTTGGTCCTGCATGGAGAATCTAAACCAATTGGATCTCTCCTCAAACGAGTTAACCGGATCGGTGCCGGACGATTTCAGCGAGTTGAAGTCTCTGTCGGGCGCGCTCAACCTATCGTACAATCACTTATCGGGAAAGATTCCGAAATCCCTCGGCGATTTACCCTTGACGGTGAGCTTGGATCTCCGAAACAACAATTTCAGCGGCGAGATTCCTCAAACGGGGTCGTTTTCGAACCAAGGCCCCACCGCGTTTCTGGACAACCCTCTGTTATGCGGGTTTCCGCTTCAGAAAACTTGTAAAAATCCGGGACAGAGCTCCGCGGATAATCCGAATTCGGGATCAGGATCGGAAAATAGTCCGGTAAAGGGTATGAGTCCGGGTCTGATTATCCTAATCTCGGTGGCGGACGCCGCCGTAGTGGCGTTTATCGGATTAGTCATCGTTTACATTTACTGGAAAAAGAAAGACGACGAGAACGGATGCAGTTGTACGGGAAAGAGCAAATTTGGCGGCAACGAGAAGCGCCACCTCTGTAATCTCTGTCATCTCTGTTCTTGCGCTTGCATCAATGGCGGGTTCGGGAACCAGGATTCGGATTCGGGCGACCCGGAAAAGGCAGAGAGGGGAAAAGGGGAGGGGGATCTCGTCGCGATCGACAAAGGGTTCACATTCGAGCTGGACGAGCTGTTGAGGGCGTCGGCGTACGTGCTGGGGAAGAGCGGACTGGGGATCGTGTACAAAGTGGTGCTCGGGAATGGAATCCCGGTAGCGGTGAGGAGGTTGGGGGAGGGCGGGGATCAGAGGTATAAGGAGTTCGCGGCGGAGATTCAGGCGATCGGGCGGGTGAAGCATCCGAATGTGGTGAAGCTGAGGGCGTACTATTGGGCGCCCGACGAGAAGCTTCTCATCAGTGATTTCATTTCTAATGGCAACTTGGCCACCGCACTCCGCGGTAAGTTTTTTTTTTTTTTTTTTGGGCGCCCTTCCGTTGACTAGTAGTCTTTTTGTCTATTCTCTTCACAGTAACACCAATTACGTGTCATTGGTAAATGAAAGGTCTTCATTTGAATTTAGATTTCAACATCTTCGCTTATAAGTGATGATCTTAATTTAAACGTTACAAATAATAATATTAATTTAGATTTTTAAAGCATCTCTAAGAGAAGTAGCAAAGATAAATTGTTATGATATGCAGGAAAACGCATCTTAACGGAAGTAGGCAACTCAATTAGCAAAATAAAGGAAAAAAAAATTAGCCAAATAAAGAATTAGCAACTAACCTTGTAAATATTTCTTCAAGGTAGCAATTGAGTCTCGCAATATATTTTATTTAAAAAGTATTGTTTAGTAAAGAGTATAAAAATAAACCCATAAGATGGGATGAAACCAATTATGGTGAAACGGATATCCATTGAAAGAAAGGAGTTACAAATCTGTTGAAATAAAGGAGTTACAGATCTGTTGAAATATTTGCCAACTTGGCAAGAAAAATGACATGATTAGATGTCACATTGTTTTCTCATATATGGGCAAGTAGGTGTACACATGTTATTTGATGGGAGTTGAGATCCTCTCAGGATTTCTGTGTCTAAGATCGCTGGATTCGAAGATCCGGGATGTTCAAGGGGCTTGGCTTTGTGTGAGATGGATTAGTGGAGATTGCAAAATTTAAATTGAGTGGTGCGGATTTCTTTATCCGTCAACTTTGAACACAGAGATCCGAAAAGGATTTCAATTTATTTGATATGTTGATGGCACTATTTTTACCTTGCCTTATATTGGACTAGTGGAGACATGGAAAATGACTAGTGAGCATGTGCGCATTTCCGTGAGCTCAATCACAATTCACTACGTGGTAGGTCAGGATAATCATATCATATTTGGTGCAGACCATTACAGCTTTTTGGCCTTGCTAGTTGTAAGGATAATTTGATGGGAAATGATTTCCGCACCATTTGAAACTTCATGGACACTCTACTCCTTTTTACCTACTCAATTGAGCATCAAAGGAGAATCAAGGGTCAGAATTAAGACTGCATGTGCAGAAAATAAAAAAGAATGTGCGAAAATCATTCTCGTTTGTTGATCAAATATCTGTTCGATGTTAATGAAATTGGAACTTTTGAAGCAGAAAAGTGAACCTCCGTTTTTAATTTGATTGCTTGGTATGGATAGAATAGATTATATCTTTTGTGCAGGGGAAACGTAAAGGGTAGATTTACTTCCTTTGTCCTCTGCCGGAAATGATTATCCTACTTTCTGACTTTCGTTTTAACTTTCCTTGGTGTCATGGAGCCACTGCAAATACCATGTCATAATTCGAGTCGATAACGTAAGCTGAACGCTATTGAAACTGAAAATTTTGAATTACAAATGTGCAGGGAGAATCGGTCAGTCATCATCAAGCCTCTCATGGACAACGAGGCTAAAGATCGCCAAGGGAACAGCCCGAGGTCTCGCCTACCTGCACGAATGCAGCCCCAGAAAGTTTGTCCACGGTGACATCAAACCCTCCAACATTCTCATCGACAACGAATATCAAGCCTACATTTCCGATTTCGGACTCAACAGGCTGATCACAATCACAGGCAACAACCCCTCCTCGGGTGGCTTCATGGGCGGGGCTCTCCCTTACATGCAACCAGTCCAAACAGAGCGATCAAATAGCTACCGTGCCCCGGAGGCCCGTGTCACGGGCAGCAAACCCACCCAAAAATGGGACGTGTACTCGTTTGGTGTTGTGTTGCTTGAATTGCTCACAGGGAAGTCCCCGGAGCTCTCTCCGACCGCGTCAACTTCGGCCGAAGTCCCAGACCTGGTGAGCTCTGTGAGGAAAGGGTTCGAGGATGAAAACCCTTTGTCGGATATGGTAGACCATGTGTTGCTGCAAGAAGTGCATGCCAAAAAGGAGGTGCTTGCAGCTTTCCATGTAGCTCTTGCATGCACTGAGCCGGACCCTGAGGTTAGGCCAAGGATGAAAACCGTCTCTGAAAATCTTGAAAGGGTTGGAACATGAGGATCGATACGTATACGTGGTCGGGAGATAATTTCCGCACTTTCCTTTTGTCCCGCTGCACTTCTCCTTGTTTTTCGAGCTTCTATATTGAATATAAATTAAAAAAGAATCAAGGGACAAAAATAAAAAGAGTAATGCAGCGGATGGAAATCATTTCTCCAAATATAATCATGAAGTTTGACGTTCTCCCGACGGATTTGAAGATTTGGTTTTGTCAGATGGTGAATTTTGGTTTGAAGAATCAATTCGTTCATGAAGAACCCCATTTATTTTTTGGAAGCCAAGCAAATCCCCATAGCATAATTTTGTTATACAATATTTATTTAAAATTGATAATTAAGAATTCGCTGCATTTTTGTAGTTTAAAATGTTTAGTTTCTGCCAATTTCTATTAGCTTGTAATAATAATGTACCTTTTCTCCAGTTTCCCCCTCAATTAATGCGTTGTATAATGTAGATTCATAAGTTCTTAATTCAACAATTTTTGCCTACCGTCATTTTTTCTCCTCGTTCACCACCTGATCCAAACCTAGCTGATTTTATTCAACCTAAAATATTGGATTGAAATAGCAAGCGGTGAATTGTCTTAATGGATAAAATTTTTCTCTTCAACTCATTGTGTTTCGAATTCAAAACTCGCTTCCTACTCGCAACGTAGAATATCCTCTTCAACCCCCTTTCCGGGTTCAAACTCCCCCTAATTCTATATGGAAACTACTAAAAAACTCAGCTACTAATTTATTTGGGTTTTAACTTACACATGAAGCTAATTTCAATCCTAGTCCTAATTCAATTTTGAAAAAAAAAAAATAATAATAACCAAGATTAGGTGAAATGACACGTGACAGATGATTATGTGTATTTTGAGTATACCAAAACGACCATACACTTTACAATTGCGAGAGAATATACTCCCCTAAAACGGAAAGAGATCGTCTATGATCTTTCCCTCCAAAGCCCAAGGATCAAGTGATCCGGGCTTTTAAAGTTTAATTCAACGGCAAAAAATTATTCTATCTTTTAAAATTTTTAACTAATTTCTCTATTTTTAACCGTTAGATCAAATTTTAAAACTCAAATCACTTGATCTTTAGGTCTTAGGGGAAAAGATCCGAAGAGGATCTCTTTCCCCCTGAAACTACCATCAATATTGACCACGTGGCCGGAGAGGCAGATGCAGAAAAATGGAGCGAAGTTTGAGTATTGGCTTTCCGCCCCAAATTAATGGGCCGAACAGTTGGGCCTATTAATTTCCATTTACACCCCCAGATTCTTTACACTTCTCTCTCTGTCTCAGCCAAGACTTGAAACAGAGAACAGACAGTGAAGTCTAAAATGGCCGGAACTGGAAGAAGAAGCTCTCGGAGCAGAGCCAGCTCCTCCAGAGACGGCAATGACGGAGACGCAGTTCCTCTCCGCCCACCTCCCAATTTGCGGACGCAGAGAGGTGGCAGAGGCAGAAATCAAACTTCAATCGGAATTTTCAACGTCAATCTCAAAGTCCTGCTAGTGCTCAGCGCGATCGCCTTCTTCGCCATCTTGTATTTGATTAACAAGCTCATGAACCACGTCGAACAAGCTCCGACGCCGAGGGTCGTCACGCCCTTCCCGGCTCCAAAGCTCATGGACCTCCCTCAGGTATTCGATTTTTCTTCGTTGACTATGTGATGCGTGTATTCTGTGAGTTGATTGTGCATTTTTCGGGTTGTGGCAGTTTCAGGGTGAGCACAAAGAGAGCTTGTATTGGGGAACTTATCGCCCGAACGTGTATCTCGGAATCCGGGCTAGGTTTGCCTTTTACATTGCCGATCATAATATTCTTTTTCTTGAATTGTTTGTTTAGAATTCATGTTCATTCAGTTAACATCGTATCGTTTGTGTATTTTCGGGAGCGTAAATTTACGTTTTGGTAGTAAGTTGTGTTACTCTTGTCAGTATAACTAGGCACTTGATCAAATTGTTGATCAATATTTGTTTCTTGATGTGCTCGGTCTTGCACTTTATCTCATTTCATTAACATTGACGGATGCATTGTTTTTTCCGTGTGTGTATTTAGACTTTGCGAATGATGTGGTGGTGATTCTAGTTGTTGCACCTTGCAGGACTCCTCGGTCTTTAATAGCCGGGTTAATGTGGCTTGGTATAAAGGATGGGAGATATTTCATGCGGCATGTTTGCCAAGATTCTGATGATCTGAGTAAATATGGTTGGGCACAACATGATGGGCGCAGTTTTGGACATCAAGTCATTGTTGACCATGGCATGAACTTGGCAACAAGTTTCTTGAAATCCAAGGGTGAAGACAGTGGCTATGGCGGAGATTGGGCAGTTCAAATTGATGTGCAGAACCACAAGTAAAAAGCCTGACCTAAATCTGTAACGCTTTTTCTTTACGAAATGAACAGGGTATAGGCATAATGTGAAGTGAATTTAGGATTTAATGGAAGGTGTGAAGATTATACTTACAAGTATGTTGATGTAGTGAAGAGAAATGCGTAGAGTTTCTCTTAATTTTCTGTTGGGAGCTGGGACCCTTCCAAGGAGGGTGAGGGTTGTGGCATTTTTTGTTTCTAAGAGTAGATGGATTTGCCCATGCATTCTTTATACATGAATCTTTTATTGACTCTTTTCATCATGCTTCATGCTCAGATCTAGAGGGAATGAGGAAGCTTCACATCTCTTTTTCTATTTGGCCGATGAAGATGGAAATACTCTAAATTTAGGTGGAGATACCTTGGACATTCATGAGAACTCTCTCCTTGCATCTGGTTCACGGATGGATGTTGGAAGTTGGCAGCTACATTTAAAATCACTGGTAATGTTATGAAGAGATTGTTACGGCAGAGGAAAAAAAAAATCTTTTATATTGAAAGAAAATGTCATATGAATTACGATGAGGAAATATATTTCTGTGAACCATTAAGCACTCTTGGTCCACCTCGTTAACTTAAGATCCGTTGAATGCTCTCACAGAGTTTCATGGTCTTTGTGGTATTCGTGTTATTAGCTAAAAAGTAATTAATAATCTGAACAATTCAATGTCCGCTCTGGCCAGGGACAGAGCAAAGATAGGGTTCACATGTGCTAGAGCCAACATCAAAATTAGGAATAAATGGAAAAAAGTAGGAAAAGCTTTAGAACATCAGGGGGAAAAATGGAAAACCCTCTAATAACTTATTCATCCAACCCACCCAGCCCACCCCTGTCCTAACTTATCCCCACAACTAGGTCACAGCGCACCCCAAACTTATGATTTGCTCTGTCACTTGTTCCGCATTATCTGTGTTCTTACTCATTTCTGAGTTGATGTATTGAAGGCTCCAATACTGATCCATTACTTCTCTGTGTTTTCTTTTCAGGAGGATTTGGAAGTTCATTATGCTGGTTTTAAGACGGCTCATATTCACAACTTATCAGATCTTGTTCAGGAAAATCTTGGACTACAAGTATATCACAGTTTCATGACATCATTTTATTATCCAGAAAAAAATGAATCAGCTTTTTAATATCTACAATTCTTGCCTTGAATGCCTCAATTTCACTTCCATGTTTTTAGGTAAGGAAGTTTGGTCGACTGCAGCTACCTGACACATCTGAAGATTCTCCAAATATTCTAGTTTTTCAGGTACATGGTGGTAAAGTGTGCTACTTTTTTAGTCTAACTAATCATTAGTCATTAGTTTTCAGTCTTGATTTTTCTTTCTCATCCACCTTTTCCTGTGGTTTCCCATTGTTATCCAGATTTCTGCTAGGGCACCTTTCAGGACAGATGTTACATTCATATCTGGAACTGGTTGGGAAAGTTCAAGAGTAAAAGAACGTGTCAGCAGCCTTACAGGTTCGTCTTCCATTTAATCATGATAGGTAACAATAATAGAAGCATAAGAGGGTTCCACTGAGTACACGAAATTAACCGAGCTCTGTGTCAGACTTCCATTAAGGGACCATGAGGACCGAATAATTGATGTTTCACAATCAAGAACTCAAATGTTGAACCCATTGCCCATTCTTCCAAGTCTTAACGCTAATATTTCCTACAATTTTGGGTTTTGTCAAGAACCAGAAATTAGAATCTTGCTTTCTGCTATTCTTTAATATCTGTGTGCACATTTCCTGATTTCATGAGTGACTTCCAACTAAATGTTATATTGCCCTTAACTTTTATTAGTTACTCTATGATCAAGGTACCTCACTGACCAATCAACTGAAGGAGAAGCAAAGAGAATTTGACACAAAATTTGAGAAGAGCTTTAATCTGGTTGACAAGGTACTTTGGAAATCAGTTTCCCAGGATAGTGCATTTTGTTACAAACTATTGAATCAGGCCTGCTATTTGAATGTCTTGTTGAAAGTGAAATATTTATGTAGTCAGACATTTACATGAATTTACACTGAGTATTGCTCTATGATAATACTTTTGATTTTGGATGACATGGTGAAAAAGATTGAGCCAGTCCATCCTGGTAGCTTAATCTGATGAGCTAGTCTGCCATTTTCAGTTTTATGTTGTATCTCTATGGGATGTTTGGGAGTCTTTACTGTATTTTGGCTACACAAGGAAAAGCCTTCATGGCATGTCTTGCATTACAGTAGGACAGTTGCTGATGCTCTACATATGCAGTTACAAACACTGGCATTAAAAAATTCACGAAACTGAGATAGTTATGTGTGCGTTGTGAGAATTGAAGCTTCATCTACTTAGATATAATTGTGCAACAAAAGACTTCTAAATTCGTTGTTACTATGCTTTCAGCTTGATCCTGAATCTATTGTTGCTGGTAAGGCTGCCATAGGAAACTTGTTGGGTGGCATCGGCTACTTCTTTGGCCAGTCAAAAATTGCCGTCTCCGGGGATATGTTCGTAAGTTATTGGTTACCTCTATGTGCTACTGGTCCTCCTTTTAAAAGTTTATACTTTTCCTCTGTTTTCACAATTTTGTTTCTTAAAAGAAAAAGACTTCATTTTCCATTTCCCTCTTTTCCCCCGTAATTTAGGGAAAATAATATCTCTTAAAGCATCATATGACTAATTGTATGATCACACAAAATTAGATGCTAATGGTTGCTGCTTAACTAAGTGTTAGTGAAATTCACCTCTTTTGCTTCCAAATATGGGCTAGTGTTAGAAGAAAAAACCATGACGTTCATAACATTATTAGAATATGATATCAGTGGGTTTTGATCACAATAACTATTTTCTGAATGGGCCTTAACAGAATAGTTTTTGGAAGTGACCAAATTTATGAAAATTTATGGTCGTATCAGTGTGGACATCTGAAAAAATAAAGACATGGATTTATTTATTATGCTTGGTGAAGGTATCAATGTGGGCATCTGACAAAATCATATAGTTGGCCATTTCCTCTTGCAGTCGGGAAGTCATGATAATTCTATTTCATATTGGCCTGCTGAGCTTTACACAGCTGTTCCAAGTCGTCCTTTTTTTCCGAGGGGATTTTTATGGGATGAAGGTTTTCATCAACTTTTGATCTGGTGAGTTGCCTCATGTTTTTCAGTATGCATGTTACTCCAATTTGTCTCAGTTCAGCTGCTGCCTTTGTAATTTCTTGAAGAATTATAAAGATATAAAAAGTTAAGTACCTTATGTAAGTGTACTATCGGTCTACTTCTGGAAAATGGAAACTCTTTCATATATGCATCCTTAATGTTGAGCAGGCGTTGGGATAAACATATTTCCTTGGACATCATAGGACACTGGTTAGATCTAATGAATATTGATGGATGGATTCCCCGTGAGCAAATTTTAGGTGCTGAAGCTCTAAGGTACATTCTTGTTCAAATACGTGTATACCTCAGCTTAGATTTTGTCAGTGTAAGTAGAATGTAATATTTTTTGTGGTGTACCTGCAGTAAAGTCCCAAGTGAATTTGTTACTCAGCTTCCAACAAATGGAAATCCACCAGCTCTGCTTTTGGCGTTGCGTGGTAACTGAATATTTTTTTTTTTCACTTAAACCTTTCAGTCCATGAAAAATTGAAAATGTAGTTGTTTTGTGTGATTTTAAGCTAAGGAAAGACTATTTTGTTATCCATGCCCCCAAAAGTGTTAACTTTAGTTGTTCAAGAAACATTATGTCGTGAAACATATGTCTGAACTTTTGACTTCCTAGTTTCTTCCCATATCCCTCAGAATGCATATTGTCTACTTGAAAATTTTGTTGGTTTGCTGTATATATTATTTATGATGTGGTCTGAAAGTTTGCCTTTTCCAGACTTAGTTCATGGCTTAAAGATAAACAAGTTTACTGCTGCTGAAAGCAATGCGATATCTTCGTTCCTAGAACGGGCTTTTGTTCGCCTAGAAGCATGGTTTCAATGGTTCAACACTACCCAATCAGGTATAGAAGGGTTTGTCAATCTTTAGTCTCTGCCATGGGTTTTTCTTTATAGGAGGACAAGGGTTGTGATGCATGTGTTTATGGTCTGTTGTTTTAGTTTTACTGAGCAATATGTTTACTCAAGGGCACATCTTTTATATGTTTATCGTCTGTTATTGTATTGAGTCCGTGAAATGTGTATATGCATGCATACTTGCGCTTGTATGTGCGTGGTGGACTGTAGCCATGTGTTTGTGTTACTGACTATGATTGTATGAACACAGGGAAGGAAGTGGGAAGCTACTATTGGCATGGGAGAGACAGCGCAACAAATAGGGAACTAAACCCTAAGGTTCCACTTTACAGAATTTCGTACTCTTTTAGACTTGTATTAAATAAAATCTGTTACCTTTTGTTTTAACTCGCAAGAAATGTGGTATGATTTGGGGCATCATATGCCTGAGTCGCTTAGCTTTGGAACAAATTTAAGTAGAACTTCATGTTTAAAACACTGCTAGTAAACTGAGATTGTATTATTGCATGTCCAGACGCTGTCTTCTGGATTGGATGATTATCCACGTGCTTCCCATCCAAGTGAGGATGAGCGTCACGTAGATCTTAGATGCTGGATGCTACTTGCAGCAGATTGCTTGCATTCCATTGCAGAACTGTTTGAGAAGGAAAATAAATCTGCAAAGGTAAGGCAAACAAATACGTATGGAAACACAACTGTGATTTATCAATTAGTTAACATATAAATTAAATAATGCAGGAATATGGTGCTACAGTTAAGTTACTCTCGGATTTTGAAACTCTGAATCAGGTTCGTTTGTCAATTGTCATTATCATATCTATAGTTTGTTGCAGCATATTCTCCTTGATGCATTTTACTACAATATATATTTCCACGCCATCATTTTGTGTCTGTCTAATAACTACATCTTCTTGGTTAATTACTTTTTCACTGTTTGGTTCATTGTATTTACAATTATATCTTATACGCTCCTGTTGGACAGATGCACTATGACGATACATATGGAACATATTTTGATTTTGGAAATCATACGGAAAAGGTATGCTACTTGCTCTCTTCTTTTTTGTGATATTTTCACATGGTACATGGGTTTTTTTTTTTTTTCACGATTCTAAATATCTTGATATGAGGTAAATAGTACTCACAAGAGTCAAGATTGCTTATAAGTGAATAATGATGATTGATTTGGGGACTACAAGTTTCTCATACCATGGGCTGTCATGTCATAATTGGTTTAGATAAATTTTATCGTCAAACAGATGGTTGCCTGATGTGTCTAATTGTCCGTTACATAAATGTCTAGAGCTGGATAGCCTTTTTGCTTTTCAGTTACAATAGTTGCATGCTAAAATTGGGCATTGGTTTGATCTTACTAGGTTCGTTTAGTTTGGAAAGAAGTGATAACAGGACACAATTATGCAACCAGAGAGCTCGTGCGGGAGGTATTAGAAAGCCCCAAGTTGAGACTCGTTCCTCACATTGGCCCTATTAGTCTTTTCCCATTCATTGGAAGGATTATACCAGCTGTAAGTTGTGTCATCTGATTGAATATTCTACCGATTATGTATTATTATTGTCATGTTACCATAAGACCACTTCTCTCTTGTTTGATATAGGATTCAAGGATTTTGGAAAAACAGCTAGACCTTATATCAAATCGGAGCATCTTTTGGACAGATTATGGACTCCGCTCTCTTGCCAAAACAAGGTGATCAAGTATACAGATTACGTTAACTGAATTGGTTTTCATGGTAGAATTAATTTTCCCCTACTTCTGAGGACCATGTTAATTCGGAAGCACTAAATACTTTCATCTATTGTGCAACAGCTCCATGTACATGAAACGCAACACAGAGCATGATGCCCCTTACTGGAGGGGTCCAATATGGATGAACATGAACTACATGATTCTTTCATCGCTCCATCATTACTCTAGAGGTACACAGCTTACCGCCTCCCGCTATGAAGATTGAAGCACTATTCTTGCTCTTGTAACTGTCGTATTGTTTGAATTGTTTCAGTGGATGGACCGTATAAAGAAAAAGCGAGAACCATCTACGATGACTTGAGAGGCAATTTGATTAGGTACGTCAAGACATTTTCTGTACATGTAATGCTTAATCTGCTATGTTCAATGGATTTAAACGTGTTTCCCGTATGTTGCAGAAACGTGGTGAAAAATTATCACAAAACCGGGTTCTTCTGGGAACAATATGATCAGAGGAACGGCAAGGGAAAAGGTGCACGCGTATTCCATGGCTGGACATCTCTCGTGTTGTTAATCATGGCAGAAGCTTACTCTAGCTAGTGAGCACAGCGTAGGAAAAATTGATATTTGGATTCTGATACGTACAAGGCGCAAGGCTCTTTAAAAGCGATAACGTCGAAAATGCCAGAATGAGCAATATGTGGTGTGATCTAGTCCGAAAAGAATGGTGATACCGGTAGTCTTCAATCTAACTTTTCGTTTCTTGAACCCTACTGTTACTACTTGTACCGATACAAGAGAGCTTAGAAGCGGTTTTGGTTGTTAGAAAACGCTTTTAGCCAGGTCAGGTTCTTTTGAAGCAGTCTCAAACAGTACAAATGATGTATTTGCAGCGTGACAAGATGAGAGACTAAGGACCGTATTACCCATTACCAAATAAGAGTTAACGTTCGTTGCAAATGATGCAAGTAGAAAAATGAGTCCTCTCTCTGTCTCCGGTGGTCAGCTGAACTGATTTGGATAGTTTAACTCAAAGCCTCTGTTAACGGTTCAAGGGAGAAGGGTTATCACCGGCCACTGCCACTGCCACTGATTGCTAATCAAACGCACTAATTTAAATAAAAAAATTACAATTAACAAACCAAACTTTCCGTCTTAGTTTCCGTTCTCAGTTGTTTCTGTATCCTCTGCCATTATAATCTCCATATCCCGGATATCTCGCTTCAAAACATTGCCTAGTCTCGCAATAGCTTCCGTCTGCTGTTGCAACACCTGCTCCACAAAAACGACCAATTCATTTACCCAATTCTGGTGTTACCATATAAAGGAGTGTGCCTTTAAACGACGATAATATGTACAGTTTTCTTTTCCGAAATCAAATATTGTGCATAAGATCGGGTTGAAATATTCAGAAGGCGAGATGAAATAGAAATTTTCCAAACTAGTGCACTCTCACCTCTTGCATAGCAGCGAGACTCTGTTCATGGATTTTGGTTGATCCAGGAAGATAACCTAAACCACCAGCACCAATAGAATTCTCTTGGACACGGGATATGGTTAGTAGGTTTTGTACCCTCCTAGTAAGCTCAGCTCTGGATCCTTTCAACTGCAAATCCATTTGCTTGTTAGTATCTTCACCGAATGACAGATGACGAGTAGGATGCATAGAAAAGGGATCATGAAGGGCATAGTAATGAAGTACCTGTCTAGTAATTGCAGCTAACTTCTCGGCCAATTCTACTTCACCTTTCATTAAGGGCAGTCGGAAACCCTTGCCCTCTAGTGCCTCCAGTATTCTCATCACCTTTCGGAATAGCAAAGAAAACAAAGATGTCAAAACACTTGCAAAATACAAAACGCACAAGCTACCTGCACAAGAATGATTTAAACCCTCCAAGCCAACAACAATCATAAATCTAGTCCTCTGGATGTTGGTTAAGCACTGTCAGTCACAACGCCAGATTGCAATGACGGCATTTTCTTCAAGCTTCTGATGGAACTCATCGTACTCATTATTCACAGTTTCTAATATATATCGCAGAAAGTGTACTCACCCTCAAAAGGCGCCTTTGAAGACCTTGTTCTTTTTGTCTCATTCTTTCGATCCAAGGAAGTGTGTCAGCTTGAAAATGCCTTTGAAGCTGCAAATGATATAAGACATGAAAGCCATTTTCAAATTTATGTGGTAATAGCAGATGGGCATTTGAACAATAAATGATACCATCTTGACATTGCTTTGGGTCATTTGCAATCTCTCAGCATCTGAAAGAAGGACTTCATCTTGGAGCTGCATCAATTCAGTTTGAAACATCAGGCATCACTAAACGATAACAATTTTCTCCACCTTATCAGCTTTAAACTGGTTCTCGCAATTTTTTTCTACTCAAACCCCATATTAGTTCAATACTTGCATCATAGCAATGGTCCAACTATAGACACAGGACAGCAACTCTGGTGGGTAATCAACAATTTTACTTGCCAAGTCTCAGTCAGTAACTGCCAAAGCAGAACTCATAAATACCCTGGACTGTAACAACTTAATCCAAAATTGGCATTCACTAACACCAACCGGTGAATTTAAGGTTTAACTAAAAAACCTCAAAATATTGCTTAAATGTACTATTTCTAAGTAGCAACAATAGAAACAACAAGCAAAAATACTCTGAACAATATCACTACGCTTCAAACTAACAACAATTACCTTCAGGCGTTGAGAGAGATCTTTAAATCCCTGAACAAGCTGAGGCCACAGGCGCTCCCTGTCAGTACTTTCCAGACCTTCGAGCTTTGCCATAGCCTCTGCCCACATAATCTGGCAACGCAAACTATTCTCCACACTTAGCCGGAAAAAAAAAAAAAAAAACAAACCAGATTATGCCACGAACACCTAGTAACAAAAAAGGGGAACAATAAACTCACATCCGATACACCAGCAGGCTTCACCCTGAACTGCGGATCAGTTACGCTAAACAGCAAATGCTGCAAAAATCAAGACAGGCATTCATTTCTCATAACGAAAGTCCACAACTAAGTTTGTCAAAAGCAGAGAGATATTAAGAATCTAGAGTTTTAAATCAAACATGAACTTCACCACTCAGCATCTTCTAAAACAAGCATATTTGCAACTTTACTTCCATTTTCTCAGCAACCAAACAGACAGGTATAGATATCATGGGCGGGAAGGCAACGCATTCGAAATTCTAACAAAATCAATGAAAATAAACTAGAAGAACAAACCTTAAAAGCATATTTAGGGTTTCCAGGCTCGTCCTTGTAAGCGTCAACAATTGCCTAACGCAAAAAACCAAAATCCGTCAAATCAAAACGAAATTGAAAGCTAGGGTTAGGGTTTCTGCACTGAATAATCAATAACAAAATGGAAAACAATACTTGAATATCGCGATCGGCGAGAGAGAAAGGGAGAGGAGAGACGGGAGCCATCTGAGTCGTCAATTGAGAGTTAGGGAAGGGCGTCGGCTGCTGCGGCGTAGTGAACGGGCTCTGAAACCCAAAGCCGCCAGCAGACTGAGGCTGCTGAAACGACGTCGTTTGCTGCTGAGTTTGAGAAGATAATGGAGTGTTGAATAAGGAGCCGAAGCCACCGGTGGAAAATGCAGACGTCGACGGAGTTCCAAAGGCCGGAGCCGGAGCCGAAGGAGTAAAGAACGACGGGGTCGAAGAGGGCATCCCAAAGGCCGGGGTCGACGACGGGGTGCCGAAGGCTGGGGTCGACGACGGCGTCCCGAAGGCGGGGGTTGACGACGGCGTGCCAAAAGGTAACGACGAAGATTGAGCTCCGAACATTGTCGCTGGCTGCTGCTGCTTCTCTCTCGCTGTTGAATGTAGAGAGAGAGAGAGTGTGGTGTAGCTCAGCAGTTCAACGTTTTGCCTGTGCCTGTTTTTTGACCACCACGTTGTTTTACATAAGTGACCAGAAATTTTGTTTTTTAACTAATTAATTTTTTAATTCACATATCTCATTTTTTATATAGTAATACGTGAAGAATTATTTTGTGTGTCGATTACATTAAAAAATCTCTCATTTGCTTTCGCTTTTTCTTTCACTAGATTTTGAGAGCGTGCACCTTTAACGTGAAAAGATTAATTTCATAATTTTGAAGATTCTTCGGTTTTTTTCCCCGAAATGTGACGTATCTCAATTCCCAAAGAATTGAATTAAACTTCAAGGGAGTCCGGAATGGCTAAAAACGTTTCAATTCACTCCGATTGGGCACATTTACATGACACACGTCGTCACAAATTTTTTAACGTGGGAATTACTCATGTTTTGACACGAATCTAGAACAAAGAGAATACTTGACTTCAAATTCTAACATTTCCACAAGACCACTAGATTTAAAGGCGTAGGCTATATTCTGCCTTGGCCAGACTGTCTCTCCCAAAGTGAACCGATGCGGATTAATCAAGTGCAAGCAAGTTAATTAACAACAGAGAGCAATAAATCCCAAATCAAGTACCTGATAAAAGTAGACTGAACTCCGACCAATGCACGAAGCTGAGCTCCGACCAATGCACGAAGCTGAGCTCCGTGCATTGACGAAGTTCATAACAAAATGCGTTAACCCTAAAGTCCTAATCCGGGCAACAGAGCTAAAATCCAGTCCATACTTGAAGTTCACCAACTGTTTTTTAGAGCCTTACGAAGGTCCTCCAACTTTCGGGCACACCTTACAGTTTCACACCTTGATAGTAACACAGCACAAGCAGGGGCCGGACAGCTTTACCTCAGAAGTCAGCCACTCGGATCCTGGTGCTGCATTTGGATCGTACAACAAAGTACGATAACCAGGATCCTCCTCGAGCGAAAACAACAGAAGTTTGTCATCCAGTATCCCAAATCGGAGCTTGATGCTTGTGCTTCCTGTCAACGGAATCTGCACCATCTCCCAAGAATTGTCGTCAGGGTTGTAAATTGAAAGTTTCCGCTGGTTCTTCCACTCCAAACAGAACAGCTTCTTTCCCAGCACAGCATGAGCAGTGACCATGACACAACCATTCTTCTTCATCTCACCCCAAGTGTGACTCTCAGGGTCGTAGACATCAACAAACTTTGAATTTCCAATTGTGAAGCTTGACCTTCCGCCCATAACATACAGCTTTCCTTCAAATCCACAGGCAAAGCAACCATATCGAGGACGGCGAATACTGCTTATCAGGGTCCAAGTATCGGTGTCAGGATTGTACACCTCGGCACTGGATAGACTGCTGCCATCTATACCGTATCCTCCAACAGCGTAAATCATACCACTTAGTTCTGCACAAGCAAAGTCATGTCGAGCAACATTCATGTTTGCCAATTTGCCCCACCTACAATTACGAAAGAACTATAAGATTGCATTATATATTACGAAGTTAAGCTTGTCCGGAGAAACATTTAACATACAGCATTTGTTACAGTCCAATCATGCCGGTGAAATTAAGTAGCCATGGTAAGGAAAAATACGGGACATTCTTATACTTTATGAAGGGTTTGCAGAAAGGAAATTAAAGGAAGAGACTAATCACTGAAAATGGACACAAAACAAACCTGTTGAGGCAAGAATCGTATTGGTACACATCTTCTGATGCAATGGTGGTCCCGGGAATCATAGAATATCCACCAACGACAAGAAGCTTTCCATTAAGAACCGCCACCCCAAATCCAAATCTTGTTGGACCAGGCATGCGAGGAAGAACATGGTGCTTATGTCCATGGCAATCTAAAACCTCCCAGTGGTTTTCCATTCCTTGAGAATCGGTTGTCAAAACATAGAGCCACTCCTCAAGCAACCCAGCTAATTGCCGCACAGTGATAAGTTCTTTGCTTTGAAGAAAATACCTCCATTTCTTACACACGGCACCCATAGCAGGGAAGTCTGAATGAGGAACAAGCGCTAGACAATATTTTGCTATGTCATCTGGCAGTCCCGGCAGGATGGGGCTGTCAGAATCATCTACCTCCAGAGAAGTCAAACTGCGATAGCTTTTTGCACTAATTGGTGCATCTTGCTTGACCGAATTGGATCGGCACATATTTGGATCTATAAATCTCTTCTTTTCAGTCACAAAAGCCAGAATTTTGTAGATTGAGAAGGTTGTTACGTCAAAGGAGATGCAGATTATCTCACCTATGACCGCTTAGGTATCCCCCAAAAATGTGTATTCTTCTTTAACAGCAGACTTTTGAGTAAAGGAATTCATGATATCCGTCACCTATAGGAATTTTACAAGACCAAGGCATAAAATATGTCGCAGAACGCACCACACAAGCAGTATACGCCGGCAATTTTCTGTGTTTTGTCCAGTCGGGTCCAAATTCCATAACAATAGTTCTGCTCCCAAAGTAGCTGCTCCCTAACTTATTTCTTGCTCCACACATTGCCCAAGTATCTGCATATCGTGGAGCAAACTTAGTGGAGCCTAGTTTTACGAAAAGGAACAAAAACGATAAACATTCTATCTGCAGTTGAGGAATAACCGAGTAAGATAGGTCGGAAGAAATCATACCAGTCAATGCCATATACTCGGCAGGTTTTAGCCCCCAGTGACTTCCATAGCATGTCCAGGTTGATAATCACCTGAATGAATCACAAATGAGTCAACAAAATTCAACTCAAAGATAACACAATACAAGCACTTCAAACAAGATAACGCAGTGATCGGGGATTCAGATAGCAGCAACCGAAAATTCAATCAAACGAACTATACTACGCAATTACGCATTCCATTCCAGCATCACTTTCCGGGGAATGTAAGAACAAGACCAAAATTAACCATTTGCCACTTTTAACTTTGCAAAAACTTCTACAACAAAGACATGAACACCTAAGATTGATACAAGTGATGAGCAGATCAATTACCGGTCTTCATAGTCAAGGCCGGCGGCAGAAATATTTCAGACCGGCCAACGAAGAAATCTACCTATCCGCGTTGTTTAGCTAATTAGATTCAAAAGTTGTTAAACTAAAATCAAATTTACAGTAAAAGCTAGTGGTTCCGCCAGATCTAACATCCTTGCCCGGATACAACAAAAATGGAGCATAGACAACCAGATCTATATAAAAACCATCAACTGAAATCTCACACCAACAAAGAAGATATAGCCAAGAAATGTATGCGCATATGCACAAATTTCTGCTCCTGGAAGCTTAAACCGCTCTAATTACATCATAAAAACTATAAGCCAAGGGTTTAATTCTCCGGCGCGAGATTCACACTCTCAACGAAATTTGAATGAAATCTGAATACACCAAATCAACAAATATGTTGGTTTGGGTTGGCTAAGCTAAGCTGGGATTAGTGAAACATAATCATGCATAATTAAAGCATAAACCATATGCAGACCTGGCCGTAATCGTATTGGCTAAAACCAGTGTGCTCTCCAAAATCTTCTCCCGTAATTTAGATTAGATTAGAATAACGCTCAAATTGAAAACAACATAAACTTAAACAAAAAGAGAAAATGGAAGGTGAACCTGATTAGGAAACGTCGAAAACAAGAGCATGTATATGTATATATAGAGCAAAAGTAGGAATGTAAATCTGAGATTAACAGAAAGGATTAACGAAGATTACCTAAAATAGAAGGGGATTATCCAAAAAAGTATTGCGGAAAATTGGAGAGAGATTAGAACGTGTGGAGGAGGAGGCTAAAATTAGAAACAATCGGAATTTTTGATGAGGTGCTTGAGAAAGCGGAAGAAGAGGAGTTTTATAGGACCCGAAATGCAAGGGAAAAGGATTAAAGTTTGAACTGACAAAAAAGCCCCGACCACGTCAGAGTTCGGAAACAGACCCAACAGGATCCTATTCGGATCATTTTGGTGAAGATTTTGGGAATTTGTGAATAGTATTCGTTCATGTATATCGTGCGGTTAATTTTTGTCAAGTGCTGTTTATGTTTATTTTTAAATAAAAATATTTAAAATAATTTCTGACCGTATGATATACGATAAACAAATATAATTCACAAATCTTCGTAAAGAGAATCCGACAAGGATTCGAACTCGAAACAGAAGACCTTAGTTCTGTTCCCGAAATAAAGGGGGAATTTTTTATTTTTTTTATTTATCGCGTAATCTTTTTATTTAGTTTTATTTGATTGTCGGGAATGGACAGGTGTGGTAATTCTAAGGTGTATTGACTCGGAGATTGGTTTGTGTGTGAATGATCTGACCGGAGCAGAGTGAGGTCAACCGAGTCGGCACTTGAAAGGTCAACGCAGTCAGTCGTGAAGATAAGTGATGGACGATTCAGATTCTCAGAAGCACTTTTGGAATGATACGAGAAAAAGGAATAATCTATACAATATTAATTTTTTTGGATTTTCCTTCTTTTTTGTGAATTATTTCAGAAGACAAAAATGTGTGGACATTTGTGGGAAGATGGGATGGAACGGTAAAGTTTAAGAGGAAAGATGGGGCATTGGGAAGTTCAATCTGACCTTGTTGATATACCAATTAGAATTGAAATAAAATATAATTACATAAAAAAAAATTTACAATTTTAATTTATATATTAATATTTAATTAAATTTTTGGAATTTTTTTTTTTTTACAATTTTAATTTATATATTGATATTTAATTTAATTTTTGGAACCCAGTTACTGTTACATCAGCACATAATATATTTTTTTACAAATTTATGACGGAATTATCACATTGATTTGCGATATCCTTTTATAAATGATCGATTTTCAATTTTAGACACTATCTTGATTGAGATAGGTCAATTCTCAATTCCAAGGGTTGTTTGTTATAGAACCCCTAAAAACATACTATCTACTAGTATTAGCAGAGTAATTGAAGAAGAATGTCCATACAACGAGCATCCTTAACGTATTTAAGGTTTTCTTGTGTACATGTAATAGGGATGTTGAATTGTAAGTTGCACTTACGTTGCCGTAAGTTTATCTCGTATTTTTGTGGCTTGTATTATTTTGTTATTTCTTTTTTTCTTCTCATGCGTTTCGTGTGATTTGTACTCTTGGCCTTGTGTTTTGTATTTTTTCAATTTTCCCTCCTATTTTTTCCTGAAGAAAGAGGTATTTATTTCAGTCCAACCGATGAGTACTTCCCCACTGTTTGTTTTAGATGGCAAATATGATGACTAATCGGACCACTGCTTTTTTTGGGAGTGATTCTTGGAAGCACTTTGAAAGTGTTTGTCATAATTCAGTAACCATGCCTTCTCAAAATCACTCCTAAACAGGCTATTATTTAGAAGTATATTGGATTCAACATCATGCTAAGTATGTACAAAACGCCAAACTTATATATAAATCAATGAAGATTCTAGTATGCTTTGTTGTGGGACATTCATCGAATGAATGAAATGTTAGATGTATGGTCAATAATCCAATATTTTACTGAAAAAATCCCGTAAATCAAAGACCTAATGTGAACAAATCTTTGAAAATTCATGACACCTAATTAATACGACCCCTTATCATCATTATTTCATTCAAACAAACGTGTATATCACATCATAAAAACCATAGGTACCACATAAATTGGAGAGAAAATGTTGATTAATTATATACTCCTTCTACAAAAGGTCACTAACTTCATGTCTTAAACGTGTGAATTTAATTACTTTGACAGATTTTCATTG